GGAAAAAAAACTCTTCGTCTTGTAGAAAAGCCAAGTTTTTCTGTTTCTAATATGAACAATCTGCATCATCCTATGACCACCTATATATTTTTGATCCTGTTTCAGTTGAGAATCATATTCTTTTGCCAATCTCCAGCATCTTTCATTACTTTGTAGAGAATACATGGAGCTATTTTTTTTTGATTTTTCATAGAATCAACCAGGTTGGAAAAGACTTCCAAGATCATCAGGTCCAACCCTACTGTGGCTACTAGACCATGGCACTAAGTGCCACATCCAGTCTCATCTCGAAAACCTCCAGGGATGTGTTAGACTGTCCAACCCTATGGTACTGCCATTACTTCCTCATATTCCTAAACTTTGCTTCCCTTCTGTGTATTTTGACCATAACTTCAGTGGTTTTTATCAGAATCTATCTGTTAGATAATGTCTGCCAACTTTTATATTATCTTAACCTTTAATCTGTTCCCTAGGAACGACACAGAAGATGAGATATAGGCTGAAGAGAAGACAGAAACTTCTCAATCATATAGAAGAAAAAGACGTTTCAACCAGACTCTGGATATGCAGTGGCTAACAATGATGAACCAAAAAATGCTAAAGGACCCACAGTAATGGAAACATAATTTGATGCAAACTCATCAGACCCTAAGTGTCCCATGGACTCTCAGACACTGCTTAGGTTCCAGACTTCCTTCGAAGTATCCTTTGGATACGTATGTCATGTCCATTTGGGGAAAGCAAAGTGAGAATTGAGGAACAGAGGAAACAAAAAGCTTGATGTAATGTTAATGAAAGCTTCCTACACATTTACAAATGCAAATATTCTGTCTGAGTGAATAAATATGATTTTTCTCAGGGTTTAGTTGGACCAAACTAAGTTGTATGCTCCATTTGCTGTCATGAAACAATTGAAAAAACCCACCTAGATGATCTGCACTGCCCCAAAATTAGCATTATGTTAAAATGGCTGGTTATATTTGACTTCCCTCCTTGTTATAATAATCTTCATGCCTAAAAATGAACATTTCTTCACCTGCAAACAGAAGTACTGTAAGAGCTGGCATAAAAATATCAGACAATCAAACTGCTGATTTATATCAGAAAAAATTCTGGTTGGAATCACAGAATCATAGAATTTTAGGGGCTGGAATGGACATTAGAGATCATCTAGTCTCAACCCCCTGCCCTGGGCAGGGACACCTCCCACCACACCAGGTTTCTCAAGGCTCATCCAACCTGGCACAGATGGAAAAGAGGTAGACTGGGTGAGTCAGGATGGGATTCTCCTGGTTCTGTGATCCTATTAAGATGTGTCTTTAGTTTCTGCTGTGTTGAGGCAGATTTTGTAACTGAAAGCCTTCCCTAGCATTGCATAGCTGAAAATTCCAAGAGCAGTAACAAATAGAAAAGCAAGTTCTCCACAGAAACATTATATATTTAGAGTCTTCTACCTGGACAAATCCACAATCCACACAACTGTGTGTTGGTGTGTGTGTGTGTGTGTGTGTGTGTGTGTGAGGAAGAGGGAGGGTCCCTGTTGTTCTCTGTTACCTGTATTCAATTTAAGTAACAAAGCCATAAAAGGTGAATGAAAAAAAAAAAGGAATAAAATGATTAAGCAAATATTTCAGGGCAGTCACTTAAATGTCCTGGT